AAGTTTCCCAACACATATAAACCTTTCCTTGACCCTCCACAACAATGAACTAATACTATATTTGTCCCTCTGTGATTGACTTATTTCACTCAACATAATGTCCTCCAAGTTCATCCATATTATGCAGTGTTTTGCAGACTTTACATTACTCTTTGGTGCTGCATAGCATTCCATTATGGGTATGTGCCACAGTTTGGTCATCCACTTTTCTGCTGATGGGCACGTAAGATGTTTCCATCATTTTGCTATTGTAAATAGTGCTGTGGTGAACATGAATGTGCATATATCTGTTCCTGTCCTGGCTCTTACCTCTCTAGGATATATACCTAGTAATGGGATTGCTGGGTCAAATGGTATCTCCAATTCCAGCTTTCTAAGAAATCACCATATCGTTTTCCACAGTGGTTGTGTCACTTCACAGTCCCACTAGCAGTGTATAAGAATCCCAGTCTCTCTACATCCCTGCCAGCATTTGTTATTTTCTGTCTCGTTGAACCTGCCATTAGTGCTAGGGTGAGATGGTATCTTATTGTTGTTTTGATTTACATCTCTCTGATGGCCAATGATTGTGAGCATCTCTTCATGTATTAGCTGGCCGCCTGAATATCCTCCTTGGTGAAGGGTCTATTCATGTCTTCTGCCCATTTTTCAATTGGATTGTTCCTTTGGTGTTGAGACATTGGAGTTTTCTATAAATCTAAGAGCTAAGTCCCTTGCCAGATATGTAATTAATGGCAAATATGAATTTGTTACTGTCATTTTTATTATGTGCTTTTTTGTGGTGTTGATGTCTTTGTTCCATATAATTTTCTATGCTGAGCTTTTTTGTTTATGAATTGTCTTATCACTTTCTTTGTGCTATTGTTTTAGTATTTGCTAACTATTTGTGCTGGTCCTCTTTTTGATTTTGATGTGAAGGTGTATCATTTTTCTTTGAAGTTACCCTGTGATTTATAGTTTTCTTCCCAAGTTTAGAACAGAGCCTATTCTTAGGTCCCAGGAATCCAAATGAGAATGCTGTCACTTTAAAATCGAAAATGGTTGCCACATGTAAAGATTCAAAATGGCTGCATCCTTGGTTACTTTAAATGTCCAAAATGGCCGCCACTTGTAAACATTCAAAATGGCTGTGCCCTATGGACAGCGGAAAATCAACAGCTCAGATTGTCTCCCTCCTTGCTATTTTCCTTCCTAGTCATAGGCCACCTGCGCAGTCGTCCCTGCAGCCCTTGGTGACCAGGGCTGATCTTTAGGTCAATTCTCAGGTCCCTACACCACTTGGAAATATTCAGGCTGTTGGTTTCATCAGAGTAGCTGAAGTCTGCAGCTCCGGTCATCTCTGTATTTACAGTTTTCGTTTAGGTTTTTCCATTCATTGGTGCCTAATCCACTTTGGTATAGTTCCTTTCAAAGCTTAGGGCTCCAGGATTATCTTCTGTATCTCTGTCAATTTTTTTTTTTTTTTTCTTTTCTTTGTTGAAGAGGGTCTGTGTCACTTGTCTTCCTATTCCTCCATCTTACTGGAAGTTCTCTCTTCTGCTTTCTTGAACTTTTTACTTTACATGAAATTTTTACCTTTGTCATTTATTTATTTAACATTTATGAGTACATTGCAACATGTTCATTAAAAAATATGACAAGATTCCACTTAGCCTTTGAGAACCTTTCAGTTTAATGGGAGGTGATGTCTATGGTGGCTAGATTGCTGAGAGAGACACTTAAGAGCTTTCACTACAATGTGATATATGGGATTTTCAATAGTAGCCACCCAGATCATGATAGATGTAGAAAAGATTGAAGTTATGAAGAATTTCATTTACTTGGATCTGCAATTAACGTCCATGGAAGCAGCAGTCAAGAAATCACATGACAGAGTTCCTGTAAGATGGAGGACTAGGCAGAAAGACTGCCTAGTCTTTGCACAGACCCTCTTTAACAAAGAAAAGGGAAACAAATTAACACAAACACAGAAGATAATCCTGGACTCCTGAGCCTTGAAGGAAAGGATATAGAAGTGGACTAACCCCAACTAGCAGAAGAATTTGCATGAAAATACCAAAAAAGGAGACATAGGGAGCTGTGGTCTGGCAGCGAACCTGAGTGATCCTGACAGCACAGACAGCTTGGAGATTGCTGAGTGGTGGTAGGACTTAAAAATTAACCTAAAAATCAGCTCTGCTAGCCAGGGAGTGCATAGAGGACTGCTCTGGTGGCTGGGGAATAAACAGAGAAGGCGAAGAGAAAGGCGGGCTGAGCTGTGGAGTTTCACCTGTCTGGAGGGTGCCGCCATTTTGAATGTTTACAAGCAGCTTGTCCATTTTGGACATTTAAAGAGACAGCACTCTCCCAGATTCCAGGAGCTTAAGAACAGGTTTTGCTTGCCAGCAACCCCAAGGACACTCCGGACTTGCACAAATGAAAAGGTGCGACATTCTTCCTGTTACTCTTATACCCCACACCTGCTTGGTGAATGGAGGTGCAGCCATCCCCAACTCACACCCACCTTCTGGGCCCGCAGGAACTCCGTCCCAGTCTGTGTGCTCAGACGGCGCCTGGGTGGCCTGCCCTGTCCTCCACGAATTTTTTTTTCTCTTTTTTTATTTATATATATTGTTTCTTTTTTGCTTTCTTTTTTCTGGTGTTTAGTTTACTTCTTTTGTCTGTTTTAAAACTACTATTATTATTAGTCCTTTTTACTATTATTCTTTATTCTTCCCCTCCCAGGTCCTAGTTTCCAGCTTTTTTTCTTTTCCCTGTTCTTGGTTGAATAATTTTTTTTAATTTAACTTTTTCCCTTTTTTCTCATGGTTAACCCTATTCCATGTTTTTCTTTTTGCATTTTTCCCATTTTTTTCTTCATTATTCTCCTTCTCTACTCTTTTTCTCTTAGTGCCTTATCTCCAGATATTGCAAGTTTTCATGTTTTTTTTTTCTTCTTTTTCCCTTTTTCTTTTTTTGGTTACTATTCCTGTGTGATTACATGGTGTGTTTTTGTCCATGTGCTTTTAGATTTTTGATCATTATTTAATTGTAATTTTTGTCTAACTGAGTGGGAGACAGCAACAGTCCCCATAAGACACAACTACACCCACACCTCTTGCAACTTCACTTACTGAGCAAGAGCTGCTACCTCCTTCTGCATCAATGGGTTAGCGATAAAAAACCACCAAGAAGAGCCTGAATCACCCTTGACTGCTCTTCACAAACAGTTAACAGAGATCTAAATACAACAACGCCACGATGTCTTGGAGACAAAAGACCCTCATAGTCCACAAAGAAGCAGAATAAAGTGGTAGAAACAAGGGAGCAGGATACAGACCCAGAACACATCCCTGAGGAAGAAGCAGCATTGGAACTGTCTGATGAAGAATTCAAAAG